CCCCAAGTCCTTCATTTGGTAACACGTTGAGCCACATTGCATGCTCCGTGGTGAACCGAAATTACGTTGTAGTGCATGGTCTAAGTATATTATGATAATACAAGTCCATGAGTTACAGGAATCTACTTTTTCACTGCATGAATTCGTTTGTTGTTGTTTTTGTTGTTGTAGTAGTTCTTTTGTCCCACAGTTCACATTCCAACTTTTCCTTTTCAATAACTCGTAACATGCCACTGGGATAGGTTGTATGGTATGAGTTTGAAGCGGCTTTCAACACTGAAAGGATAGTTATGAGATAAATGCTCAGAATATAAACGAAGTAGACAAAGATCCCTAAAATCTTCCCCCAAATACCAAGAGAGATAGAAAGAGAGATGGGAGAGAGAGAGTGATAGAGAAAAACACACAGAGAGAGGGAGAGAGAGAGAGAGAGAGAGGGGGGGGGTTAAGAGGGAAATTTGTAGAAAGAATCTTAACGGTTAGGCCTACCTTCAGTTTTAGAACTCTGAAACAATAACAAATTCCTGGCTTTCATTTTTTAGAGTATCCTTTCATCGATGGGCTGAAACGGTCTTTAAAATAATTTCCTCAAAACACCTTTATTGGCCATTCGCCTTTATAGTATTATTGTTTTATGTTTGACTTCGGTTAGTGGCTGGTGACCTAGTTATCTCAAAAGTACATGACTCTATATACCCGAAGGCTATATTTTCTTCCACATGATTATTGACCTTCTGAACGTCCATTACATTTCAGAATTCGCAGTCACGATCTGCCCAGATGTTTTGGACATTGTTGACTATGGTTTAATGAAGTGCTTCACTTTTTCCCCCTATTTCTATTTTATCAATGGGACCCGAGAAAAGATCTATTAAATTCATTTAAAAGCATTACTATATGTGAAGCTGATATTGAAATTATGTGTATAACGTAAGTCTCCTTACCACAAAGTAAACTGTATCCAAGATACTCTTAGATTTTAGATATTGTCATCGATACCGCCGTTAAAACGACTGTGACCATATGTACCACTGTTGTAGTCAAATAATATGCATAAACCGATGTCTGTGGTGTAGTGGTCAGATGCTTCAACATTGCATGCAGAAGACGTAAGTCCGATCCCGTGTGAGGAGTTGGGTTTTTTTTAGTATATCCGTCTCTTTGACGAGACGCTGAGGCCCTCTCAGTGCGAGTTGGCTATGACAGGCAGGGTAAAACAGCCCATCTCGTAAATTATTATCTAAATTGTATTTAGAGCGTAACAGACATACAACTGCTTCTACAAAGATCTTACATTACTAGATGGTTCAGTCCTGTAAGTCACATTTGAAAGATACCTCAAGGACGCTGATGCGATGTCTGTTTTGATACTCGTTTGATCCTCATTTACGGAAGTGACGTATTTGTGTCCTAAGAATGAAAGCCAAGATTGATCTCATTGAATTTCTGTTTTGAGAAATTACATTAAACCTTTTAGCAGTAGAAGTGGCGACATCGATATTCTACAACAATTCGCTCATTGCAGAGGATGGACACTCTTTTGAAAGAAGGAACATTTTAAAATTGTATTGTAGTCTTCGTCATGAAGATAGTATTGGTATTTTTAAGGAATGTCATTCAAATATAGATTTTAGGAGAGACCCGCAACTCGACTATGAGTTTAACTTTTCTTAATCTTTCTTTGACTACCACATTGTCGGTCACCGTGAACTGTAGTTCCAACTGACTTGTCATCGCCATGTAAAATTGTCGTATAGTTCAAACTTTGTCTAGGCCCAAGTCACTTGTATTCTTTCTGTTAATTGGTCCATACCAGTGGATTACATTTTATTTTGTTCTTTTTATATCAAGCTCAAGCTGTACGGGGGTACTGTTTTGTATAATATTTTTAGATCAGGGGACGACTTAAGAGTAGCTATAGGTAAAGGAAGTGGAGGTGGGGGGGGGGTCAAACAAAGTAACATGCGGGGTTGTCTTGTCCTGGATTTGGCGTTGACATAATTTCTGAACTGAACCTTCATTTGCTCCGTTCATTAGAAAATTTCAGAGTAGCTTAATCTCATTTAAATAAACTAAGAGGGCCACAACGCTTCCTGGTATCACCTCATGTTACTAGGGCAATATTCTGGTCGTTTTTCCTTCTCGGAATAACATTAAAAAGAACACCCGTGAGTACTTATTGCATTACTTAAAATATGAGTTCTTAAAACAAAATATTACTTTATCATTAGATCAAAGGCCCAAAAAAAACCTTTAGAGTCATTACAGGCATTATATTCCTTACTACTCTTTCTCTTTCAGTAATGTCTTTATCCTTTAATCAATGAATATGTCACATTTACGAACCCATGAGCGGCTAATGGGAAAGGTGGTTACAAAAATACAATTAGTGAACACAGACCGTATCATACTTTTAATATATTCGTAATTTTTCATTCGCCAACCTATATTTTGGACCCTCACAACTTTGATAACGTTGAGTTGTTATATGCTAAAGGTTTTGGAGAGGGTGGTGTGATATACTCATGTTCATCAAACCACTAGATTCTAGACCTTTGAAAAAAAATCTACTTTGCAGGGATATCATATCTTTGGAGGTAGAGAATACATTGCATTACTTTGAATGAGGTAAATGGTAGAGATAAAACAAGAGACAGACAAGCTGACTGATGAACATAGTTACGAACAGATACATAGGGCACACACAATCATGCATGAAACTGAAGGATCATAAAGGGCACTAGGCCATACTCTCTCTCTCTCTCTCTCTCTCTCTCTCTCTCTCTCTCTCTCTCTCTCTCTCTCTCTCTCTCTCTCTCTCTCTCTCTCTCTCTCTCTCTCTCTCTCTCTCTCATCTAATTGCGCAGCAATATGAAGTTTGCGATAATATTTTACGTTTCTGAAATAATTTATTATATTAATTTTTTTAAAAATCTACTTCCATCTTTATACTTTAACTCACACGAAGGAACATTTACATATATTTTCCAAAGTGTAAATGAAGAAATGAAGAGCTCACAAGAATGATACAATGCCAGGTATCAAACTCAAAGTTCACAATTAATGAAGAAATGAAGACCTCACAAGAATGATACAACGCCAGGAATCATACTCAAAAGTTCACAATTAATGAAGAAATAAAGAGCTCACAAGAATGATACAACGCCAGGAATCAAACTCACAAAGTCCACAATTAATGAAGAAATGAAGAGCTCACAAGAATGATACAATGCCAGGTATTAAACTCAAAGTTCACAATTAATGAAGAAATGAAGAGCTCACAAGAATGATACAACGCCAGGTATCAAACTCAAAGTTCAAAATTAATGAAGAAATGAAGAGCTCACAAGAATGATACAACGCCAGGAATCAAACTCAGAGTTCACAATTAATTAGTTCGAAGTAAACACCCACTGCCAGTGTCGAGGAACTGACGACGGAATAATCATGATGGAAAGCCAATCTTAGTTTTAGTAGAGGTTTTTATGGCGCTCG